AAGAGAATCGTTATTTATTACGATAAGCTTAACGAAAAAAAAAAAAACTGGCATCACTACCGAATGTAAAAAAACATACTCCGAGTTTGAGATTTCACAAAGAAATTAGTATTAATATTGTCGTTGCATTAATAATAATTTTTTTATTGATTTTATTTAGTTCTAATAAATTATTGGTGCGTTTATTATTACAAAATTTTGCTCCTTATCTATTAAGAAACTAGAAGTCATTAAAAAGTCCTTTCGAAGACTTTGGTGCCTCGGCCTCTCATTTATATAGAAAGTACTTGAAACGTCGTAAAATTTGGAACGACTTTCATATTAATTGTCGTATGTTATTTGACGCTTTAATGCCTAAAGTCTTAGTCATTTACAGTATAAAATATGACTTATTTACAAACAAGACCATTGTATTACATTAAATTGGATTACAAAACGTTTTAATAATTTTTCTCTAATTTAGAAACTTTAAAGACTACGTTAGGTCGTTTTATGCACTTAATGCGTACATGACACTGTGGAGCGGTCGCACACGAAAAGTTGAATATTTATATACAAATTATTAACACCCTAGTAAACTTTTTTTTTTATCGCCCAACATTACTTTTAGTTCTGTTGGATATTATACTTTTATGTATAATTCCTCTTTCTAAATGTAGTAGACATCTAATTTTTCATATATAACATAAATATCGCATTGTATAGTAAAAACAAAAAAAAACTTTCTTTTAAATCATTTCATTTTTATCTTTACTTCAATATTAACCTTATTGTCTACTTGCATGTTAAACGATTTAATAATTAAAAAAAGTAATAAAAAATTTATTAAAATAAAATGGCTCAGAGACGCCCAACGAACACGTATCCTTGGTCCCAAAGAAAACTTCGTCAAACTAATCCATTTCCGAGATTTGAACATTCTGCTAGCGATGCTTCAACTAATAATGAAATATTTATCTTTGGCGGAATTTTTCAAGGCCAAACTACAAATGAGGTCTATGTAATCGAAACAAGTAATTGCTTAAATTCTTTATAATTTCTAATGTTAAAATCTCTTTTAAAATATATCATAATTATTTCTTACAATTTCTTTTCTAAAGGCTCATTAAATGTTCATAACATTATTACTTCGGGTGATATACCTTCTCCACGAACAGGACACACTCACGTTATTATGGGATCAATCATGATCGGTAAATTTTAATAATTATTTTAATTACAGAACCAATCATGTCAACCTGTGTAATAATTATCATATTTTAGTATTCGGTGGACTAACTCTCGAACAGAAAATGGATGATAATCTTTATGTACTTGATATAGGTAAATAATAAAATGTTTCGATATGATAAATTTCATAAATTTCATAAATGTCATAATAGATAGTTAAATTACTATATTGAGTTTTATGCGGATAAATAAATAAAATAAAATAAAATAAATGTACTTTAGCAACAAAGAAGTGGAAGCAACTTTCAGTGCAATCACCACCACGTGGAAGACACGGTCATTCTATTACAGTAATTGGAACAAAAATATACATATTCGGTGGTCAAACAGAAGAAGGTTATTCAAATGAATTAATTGTCTTTGACATGGGAATATGTAAGCGTTTAATTTATTTGAAAAAATTTTAATTGCAGAATTATGTATGAGAATAATTAATTGATATTCTATAAATTTAATTCTTTCTAAAAGATAACTCTTCAAATGCAACCTGGGAATTTGCCACACCAAAAAGTCCGCTTCCACCTGGAAGAACTGCACATATATCATGTGCATATGAAGATAAAATTTACATGTGCGTTCCTAATTTTTTTTTTTTTTTTGAATTCTTTTAATATTCAAATATTTCCTAAATACTGTAAACTTTAGGTTCGGTGGAATGGATGGTGACAGGTGTTACAACGACATGTGGTGTTACGATATAAATGACAACACGTGGTCACAACTGTCTTGCATTGGATTAATTCCTTTTCCACGAAAATATCATGGTGCTACCATCGTCGATGGAATCATATACATTTTCGGTGGCACAGATCAAGAAGGTAAAGAATTGGGCGATTTAACCTCATTTCAAATAAGTACGCAAAGATGGTATATGTTTCAAAAAATGGGTCCGGCACCAAGTCCTCGATATTTACATACCATGAGTGCGGAAAATGAAAAGATATTTGTTTTTGGTGGTGAATCGAATCAATCGTCAAAACCTGATGAAGATGGGATTATTCATATTCTAGATACATGTAATGTATTAATCTTTATTATTATTTTTATGTTATCATTTTTATAGTAATTTTTGTGTAAATACTAAAATAATTGTTCTTTATACAGCTAGGATAAGATATCCTAGCCAAGAATCTTCGCAGTCTCAACAACAACAATTGCTATCTCAGCAACAAATGTCTTCACAAATTCCTCAACAACAAATGTCATCGCAAATTCCTCAACAACAAATTCCTCAACAACAAATTCCTCAACAACAAATTCTTCAGCAACAAATGTCTCAACAACAAATTCCTCAACAGCAAATTCTTCAACAACAAATGTCTCAACAACAAATTCCTCAACAGCAAATTCTTCAACAAAAAATGTCTCAACAGCAAGTTCTTCAACAACAAATACCTCAACAACAAATACATCAGCAGCAACAAATAATATCTCCATATCCGACTCCTGTAACGTCCCCTACTAAACAACAATCTATCTCGCAGAGAAATCACCAAATGTCTCCGAAGCAAGAATTCTCTCCTTATGGTTTTAATTCTCCTACATCTGATAATAAAATAGTGACTCAATCACCAAAGAGCTATCAATCACCTGAAACCATGGATTCTTTAGAATCTCCAATACATGTTTCACCTAATACGCGTATTAACAGGGGTCCTCTTCCAGAAAATGTTGTTTACATGGAACGACAACGTTCAAATTCTCCTCAATTACGTAACCTAGAAAACGTTCGTAAACAAACTTCTTCACCGATTACGGCTCGTCAATCTCCGACAAGTTTTGATCATCAACGTACCAATTCTAATTCACCAAAATTATTTAATAGAAGTAGAATTAGTACTGATAATGCTTATAATTTTCCTGTAATGAGGGTACGAACTCAGCATAGTTTGGATAATTTACGTGAAAATCAATCGAATGCCAATGTTCGACAACAACAACAACAACAACAACGTATTATGGAAATTTCTGGTAATAACAACAATAATAATAATAATTTAATTCAAAGACAAGTTACTCCTATATATACAGGAAATCCCGAATTTTATCAACAAAATGATTTCAGAAATCAACGTCCAATGATAAGGCCACCAAGTGGTTATATTATACAACCTGATGGATATGATCCTAATTTAATGTCAGGAAATTTTCAACCAGGAATGCTTCAAAATCCAAATTATCAAACTTTTCCAAAAAATACAAGTTCTTATATAGAAAGTACTATATCATCACCAACTATACCACCTGAAGGTCATTATAGAATGTCGGATACTGTTGATCATTCTTCGGCTAATATAATGAATGTGGAATATAGTGAATTTATGCAAGTACTTGAACAAAGAGATATTTTAATTAAAACTTTATCAAAACGTGAAATGTGGTTAAAAGCTGAACTTGCTATAGCTAGAAAATCTGGTTATACTATTGATCAAATTGAATTTGAAGGTGATAATTCAGAAAAAGTTGATTTAGATCAATTAATAGATAATACTGATAAAAGTTCCGAAAAATTCTCTGTTTTATTGAATATTGTCAAAATCAAGCAGGAATTGATGCAATCCAAGGTAACATATCTATCTACACATATAGTATTACTGTATATATATGTATATATTATTATATGTTTTTTAAATTACATTCGTCTAAAATTATATTTACATTGTTTTTATAACTTTAGGCAAACATAGTTACTCAAGCACAATCTGCATCACAAAAGATTACAGATTCCGAAAAAATAAGAACAGCTGCATTACAAGAAGCAGCATATTTTAAAGCGAAACTTGCAGCTTTAAAAAATCAATCAAAATCTGATTTAATAATAATTGAATCAGAAAGAAATAATGAATTAGAAAAACGTTTAATGAATTCATTAAATGAAAAAGAATCTGTTCAAATAAAATTTTTACAATTACAACAAGATTTTAATGATGCAAAAATTTCAAGAGAATCATCTGAAGAACGTGCAAAAATGGCAGTTGAAAGAGCTGAAGAAGCTGAAAATTCTCATGCAAGATCATTAACAGAATTAGCTGCTTTACATTCAAGAGCTACAGCTGCAGAAACTGAATTAAGAGATGTTAAAGGACAATTATTAAATTCAAATATGGAATTAAAAAAATCTCAAAATATTAATGAACAATCACAAGTACAAATAACTTCATTACAACAATCTGTTGATAATCTTAAGAGAACTCTTGAAAAAGCAAATAGTGCAATGACTACAGCAAGTAAACGTGCAAGTGAATCTGAAAGTTTATGGAAACAAGCTCAACAAGATATTGCAAATTTAGAAAAAGAATCTGCAGGTCTTCGATCACAATTAGATGTTAGAATGAGAGATTTAAGTCGTGCAGCTGAAAAAGCTAATAATTTAGAAAAATTATTAGAAGAAGAACATAAAGCAAATGCTACACTTCGAGAGATGATGGAAGATGGTGTTAATAAATTATTAAATAGTCCCGTAGATGATAATTCAACTAAATCGAATGAAAATTCAAATATGGCACAACTTGAGCAAGAAATTGCTGTATTAAAGAATATTAATGAAGAATCTCAAAAATCTGCAAATGACGCTGCTAATTCTTTATTAAGTGCTAAAGTTAAAATTGTACAAATGGAATCAATTATAATGAAAGCAAGATCCGAAAATACTACATTACAACGACAATTGGCTGAAGCTTCGGAAGAAGTTATACGAACAAAAGGAAAATTAAGTGAGAAAGAACGTCTCTTGCAAGAAAAATCTCGTATACTTGAAGATACAGAAGTTAAAATTGGAATGATGAGAGATGTTATGTCTGAACGTGGAATTTTAGATGATGGTAGTGGTAATTCAGGTGCTGATAAAGTTAAAGAAATGGCAGCACAATGTGAAAAATTAGAAGCTTTACATGCAAAGACTCAGAATGATCTTAAAATATCTATAAGAAAATATCAAGAAGCGTTGAAAAACGTTCAAGAAGCTGAAAATAAATCACAAGCACTCGAAAAGGAACTTGAGAGAACAAATGAAAGTGCTTCAGAAAGCAATAAACAATTAACTGATGAAAAACGATCGA